GAGAGAGAGAGAGTGTGTGTGTCAAATTACAATACACAAAATAACCTATTCAAAACACACATACACGTTTCCTCCTAACCAAGTTCTGTGAAAAACTACCCACCATCTTCTCATACTTTGTACCACATAAAATCCACTAGAGCTAATGGATAATTATGTACTCTGGGCTAACAGGGTGGTATCCTTGAGATAATGAGATCCTTACTTTTGTGATTTGTGCACTTCAAAGCGCAAAAAAACTTTTTATGGTGATTTGGTTTATTTTCTACCTCCCTTGTGCGCACTTATCTAACATGAAAATACGATAATTAATCATTTCTCACTAACTGCCTGATTCCCTAATCACCTGCTGACTACCACCTCAGAAACTGTAGGCCTACTTTTTTTACATCTCATTTGTTTAATCTGTACACAAACCGTGTTGTTAATTAAGTAAAAAAAAGTAACCTTGGATGAAGCCAAGCTGTTTCCCTTTGCTTCTTTATGCTCATTGTATGTATACACATTTTAACATAAAAAACCTGAGGGTGTCATCAATATGGGGGTTGTGATAGGCCCTTTCTTGAGTGATAGATTGGCTCATGTTCACTTACTGCTTAGGCACCATCTCCTGTGTCTTTTTAGACATTTAAAATCAGGTGGTTTTAATGTCACACCGGTGCACAAACATCTCAATTTCACGCTGTGTGCATGTGACTAATATTCAGGATGTGATTGAAAAAGAAAAAGTCTGTCACCACCTATTAAACAGTCAGAACCTGCTGTTTGTTTCACTTAACCGTAATAGCTGTGGTTGGCTGCTGATTGAATTGCTCCGTATCACAAATGCAGGACTGGCAGCTCAATCAGCTTGCCGTGGGTGTTTTTGGGGAATCAGCGCTGGGTAATTTGTTGTTTCCTTTCTCAAGCAGAACGAAAAGGCTGTGAGACTGAAAAGCAACTGACATCAGTGGGTGGGGACTGATTATGGATAATCAGGTGCTAGAAGCATGAACTGATAGCGCTAAGAGAGGGAGGAAGAGAGAGGGAGAATGTGTTGCAGTAAGAGGGGTCTATATTGGTGACGTGAATCGGCAGTGAAGCATTCTGGGGCTTCGTGTTACAGGCCTTATAAGGGCCAGGGCCCCTGTGTCTCTGCTCACCTCGGCTATTCTTAGGCTGTCTGTCCCTCACCCTCAGCAACTCTGCAGGCAAGAAACTCCTCTCCATCTCAATATTAACTTTAAAGTTGACTTTTGAGAGTTTGCATTTT